TATCTATCTATCTATCTATCTATCTATCTATCTATCTATCGACCTATCTATCTATTTATCTCTATCTCTATCTTTCTGTCTGCCAAATAAAAAGAAAAACAAGCAAGACAACCAAAAATGCTAAATTCATTTTTAAAACCAAAAACAAAGAAACAAACAAAAAGACTGGTGGACTCCTTGTTTATAGACCCGTGACATTCAAGAAAACAATGGCAGCCAAAAAAAACAGAGACAAAAACAACAGTAAAACCTGCACGGTTTTAACCAAGTCCTGTCATGTCAAGGAGATCAAAGAGATTCAATCTGTACCATCGGACAAATCTGGCACCCTTGGGCCATTAGGCTAAACTCCCCCTTGCCAAACTGGCAGTCACGGTATATTATCATGTTTGACAAAGCCTATGTGATTTGATGTGTCGCGATATGCCTGGCATCATGACAAAGCGAGTGACCATAAACCCATAACGCTCTGCCTATAATGCTGGAGTTCAAAGGTCATGGAAGCGAGACCAGGCATAGGCCTACAGTGGAGAAACAATGAAATGCTGATGCGAAATCAGAATAGTTCTACGATTTTTGTTTATACAATTCAAAATATAGATTTGATGATATGGTATAAATGTTTTTTAACCCCCCTTGTACGAAGGGAGATAAAATTAAACTTGGCACAACGCCATTATAATAGTAAACGTCAATTCAGCCTCATTTATTCTGTCTTGCTTCATAACACTCTCGAGACCGAAATTGTAAACCAAATTATAGCGCCGTAAAACGTCCTTTTCTTTTTCTATTGAAATCTTCACTTGTATCTTACTTATAGCTCAGATTGTCTTGATAAAAGTCATAATGATGGTCATTGTACCTGTTTAATGGTCCTTTCAGCACTCTGGGGCTGTTTGAAAGGTGAGACCTCCGACACAGGCACAGACAAAATGGCCGGAGAGCTTTAAAAACTACGGGGGGGGAAAAAGCTCCCCAAAAAATTCGAAAAACAGCTGTGCTTTTCATACCAACTGAGCTAAACTGTGAGTGACCGCGGACTGCAGAATAATGTTATAAACCGAAAAAAAAACACAACCCCACCCCCCAATAATTAGGAAAAGAGACTGCTTGAAAAAGAAAGGGAGCTAAACATTAATTCACTAACGAGACAAAGAGAATAGGAGATGTATAA